CAAACACTGGAGGACAAGATCACATCAGTCCTGTTTTAGCCTCACTCCACTGGGTAGCTGTAAGTTCTAGGATTGATTTTACTGATAACTTTTAAGGGACTACATGGTTCTGCTCCAAGCTACATTGCCTAGTTGCTGCTCCCCTTTGAGCCAGTACGCAACCTCAGGTCCTCGGGCAGGGCTCTGTTGGCTGTTAAGGGCGCTTTCACACCTGCAGTTGGGTTCATTTGGACCAATTGAAAAAAATTATACACTGTTGCATTTTAGTTCTGTTCCGGTTCATGTTCACACTGCAGTTGTACAAACAGACCAAGAGAAATAACCATGACGTTATACAGACTTACGGGTAGCTTGTTGATTGGACAGCTTTGGCGATTGTCATCCTGCATCATCAGGACCCACGTGGGGAAATCAAACCTCAGTGACTGACAGATGTTTATGCAGCACTTTAATGCTTCTGATCTGTATCACAAAGAGCTCACAAAGAATAATTTATTATAAGCACGATTAGTTATGTTAGACCACAGATTGACTGCTTAGCCTGTTATGAATAATAACGTAAAAACAGGACATGTAGTACAGGAATAATTCAGGGCTTATTAGTCTATAGTATACTGTGGAATCGCTGTCACAAATGTTTTATGGACTTAATGAACTGACAGGGTAAACGGAGTACTACTTTTTTAACAGATTTTAACCTATTAATCAGGGAAAATACTTACGCTGACAAGTATACGTTACCAAATGATTTTCATAAACACAGCCTGAACACATGTCGCGGTCAGCAGATGGATTTATTAGAGGTTCAGCTTTGGAAATAAAGCTCAGGTCACATCTCTACTATCATAAAATCCTGAGGTTGGTTCGTTTGCTTTCACACCACAAGCGACCCGCACCAGAGTCCGTTTGAAAGCAAAGACCTACTTGAAGTGGAGGTCTCGATACGTTTGTTTGGTCCGCTTTTGGATGGACGTCATACCTGCTTTAAAAGCATTAACATAAGCACTTCCTTGGCAGCTTGGTGGGAACTTCTCAAAATATCTGGGTCTTCACCTATCCCATGCAGATTAACCCCAATCTGGAATAATCCTGACTTTTGCTTATTTCTGGGTGGGTAGTGTGTCCCTGGGCCTGGGGGCCCGTTGTCTCCTCTCCTCGCCTGGGCCCTATTTGGAAGGGGTGGGGCTCCCGCTGCTTCCCCCTGCCGGCTCTCTCACAATGGCGGCATTTGGGAGTATCTGGGGCACATGGCTGGTGTTGTCGGGGTAGGTTTTGGTGCTACTCCTTGGGGGTACTTGACTGGGGGGGGCTCGGGTTCATGGGGCTCAGGGGCTCAGGGGCTCAGGGGCTGCTGGCTCTGCCTGCACTCTGGGGAGTGATGCCTCTGGCTGGGCTGGGGGACTGTTGGCCTGGTTCTCCCGCGTTATCGCTCCCTGGCGGCGGGGAGCTTCCCTGCACGGCTTTCTGCTGTTCTTACTCGGGGCTGGGTTCATCTTCCCCCGGGACATGCGGTCTGGGGTCCTTTGCACTTTGGGGGATCGCGGGGTGCACTGGCTTCTGGGGGTGGGGGTTTCTGGGCGCTGCGCGGGTTGATCCGGTTGTGGTTTGGAGGGCTGCGGTGGGATTGTAGGGCAATTGTCATCTTGATGCATTGTGCTTTTTCCCTGGGCAGGGTCTCTGAATGGCTGCTGGGCGTCTAGTTTGTACATGGGAGTCCGGGGGAGGCATTTCCTCATTGGCTTGGAGGGACCAGTTTGCGTCCCCGTTTTGCTTCGTTGGCTTCGGATTCATGCTTCTCCATTTCTCTGTCGGCCAGTTGTTGGACCCCTCTGGATACCGAAGTATAAAGTTAGTTTTTGGGATGTACAGTGTGAGTGCGGGGCAGGGCTGTGCTCCGGTTTATTCTGGGCTTGTGCCTGGAGTTCTCAGCCCTTGACGGGTGGGTGGGTTGTTAGTGGCATGCAGCTGAGCTGGTTGATTTTGCCTCGTTGCTGGCTTTGCTGGTGTTACACGGCGGCCAGGGGCCGTGCTGTGTCGGCTGGCGCTGGCGGCCAGGGTTATGTGTCTGTATACATTAGTAGCACACAGACACAAACAAATTTAGGTTGTCCCTGGTAGAATTATTCCTGATGCTTTTCTTTCTTAAATTGACTGGACTGTTTCTTGTTTTCATTTTTCTCTTAGTTGTCTTACTATGTCAGCTGTTTATTGCTGCTGTTCGGCTGGTTGTCTTTTACTATTATTATTATTTTTATTGTTTGTTGTTGTTTTTCTCCTCCCCAAGCCCCCCTCTCTGTTCTATTGCAGGTTTTGTTGCTTTCTGCAATTGGTGTTTCCCACAGCTTTTCCCTGTTGTCCCCACCTTCCATCCCCCTTCTCTTACAGGTCTTGTCCTTTCTCTGTGCTGCCTGTTTGTGCCCCCCCATCCCTGTGTCTGCCCCCTGTCCGGCCCGGTGACAAATCAATACATAATTAAATAAATAATAAAACAGACAAAGAGTATTTTAATACTCTCTTGTTAAAGTAAAATCTGTCTGGCACAATATGGTATCCAGGTCATCATACTCTATACCAGGCTGCTGGGCAGGACAGGGTTAAAAATAAACAAAAACAAACAAACAAACAATTGCCCCCAAGCCACACGGCCCAATGTAAGCAGCTTGTTTGTCTGTTTTGAAAATAAGCATATTTCACTAAATATAAATTTAAAAGCATATTAAAAAAGGGTGTATTAAAAAAATGGATTTGTTCTAGTATAAACAAATCACCAATTAACACAGGGCAACATTCTTTGTATAAAGTAATGTGGTTTTTTTATATGTTTAACAGAAAGTGTGAATATTATATAGGCCTAAGTCTGCCGTTCCTTTCCTTGTCAGTTTGTCTGTATAGTTGACTTAAAGTAAGATGGTATAAGACCCAGCAAAACCAAAGAGAATGAGTTGACTTGTAAAAAGCAATTTTATGAAGTTAGAACAGAGAGAGCAGAGGATGCCTGACATCTAAAATAATCTGAACCATTTAAAAACTCTTATGTTAAATGATTAGCTGTAAAGTCATTACTTTGAGGTAGCCTAGGCTTTTACTTGAGATGCAGTGGGTTAATATGACTTATTTTTCAGTGTTCCAATTGCCCCCATACACTCTGACTCTTTGCATTTAATTAAATATTTTAGTCTTGTTCTTATAAGTGAAAATATATCAATTGTATTATTAATTAGTGCACATATATGCGTTTCTTGTATCAAAAGATGACTAGTCTCTAGTCTCCCCTACTCTTTATTTTTAACTATGTATGTAACATGATAGAAGTGCTGTATAAATAAAGTTTATTATTATCATTATTATAATATATCCTGCTCCCTGACAAGCTAACAAGAAAATCAGTGTTATTCACTTCACCTGTCAGTGTTCATAATGATGTAGCTGATCAGTATGTGTGTCCTCTGAATGGAACTGAAATTACTCAATCCAGAATTAAGGTTTTGAACTGTGTTCACTGTGCAGCTGATCAAGTCATTACTTTAAGCTTTTAGCAGTTTATCTTCCAGAAATGCAGTTTGTAGTTTCAAAGTGTCCCCTGCAGAAAGCCAAGGTATTTAAAGAAGCAGTCTGACAGTTTGGGAAATCTGCTTGTTCTTGTTGGATCTCAGCTAATAATGAGCTAAAGGTTAAAAAGGGGAAACATACAGTAGACTTTACTAACTTCTACTGAAACATGTTGGTCTGATCTGTTGTGACTGTCCCTGTCACACTTTATCATTTCTGCCCCAAATTATTATCTAAAAAAGTCTGAAAACTTTAAGAGTTGTGAGGAAACCTCCTTTGGTCAGAAAGTGCAGGATGCCTCCCTGCTAACAGCAGGTTGGGCTTTATGTTCATATAGACAATAGAGATTTGTCAACCAGCAGAGATTTTGTTGAACCTTCATTTGTCAGCTTTTAATTCACTGAGTTGCTCAAAGACAAACATTCACAGTTCGGTCTACAAACTGATTTTTATTGGATTTCCAGAAAATGTACAATTTCATAGAATCTGACATAAACTGTGGTTTAAGATTTTCTCCAGATTGCCAAAAACACAACAGCTGCTGCAAAACAGCTGCTCTGAATCCCATCCTAAACAGCAGCATGCCTACCACTAAAACAGCAGAAATTACACTTAAAAAGTACAAAGTGCTAAAGACGTGTTGAGATGCTCTCCCTGTGTTAAACATCCAAACAACAGTCCAAATAAAGATTTAGGAAGAAGACAGCGAGGCGGCTAGAATGAGCTCAGTTCATCTAAAATAATATCTGCTTTGCTTCTGGGATTAAAGGAGAATAATGACAGACATCAACTTCCAGCTCCAAACTAATAAAACACATTTTATTTCCATGTGTTGAAGCCATCACAGTGAACCAGAGCAAGTTGACCAAAACATTTCCCAGCAGCCACTTCTCCCACAGCAGAGTCCAAACAGTGCTTCCTGTTCTCTACAGTTAGGTGTCTTATTGGAAATGGTCTCAGTAGATGACAGGATCTGTCTCGTCTCTATCCTTTCTATTGGCCTCCATTTCTCCTCCTGTTTCCTCCCCTTTCTCTCTCTCCCTCTTTCTCTGCCTACATCAGCGGTCGCCATTAGAACAATAATATCTGGCCCGTGACATAATCACTTCCTGTTAAGGGATTGGACCTACAAAATAAATTCCTCTACTTGGAGATGCTGGAGAAATGAAAATAACCATCTATAGGTTGATGGATGTGTCCAATCACCAGGACGCACACCCTGCAGCACATGTGAAATTGTGAAATTGTGAAACAGTTTCTTCATAATTATTTAACGAGAGAGAGAAAATATATTTGAACACAACCATCCAATCGAGGGGCCTGTTGACTACTGACTACTGGTTTAAATTATTATATGACTTTGTTCTGGCTCATCATCTAATGGAATAAAAACTGATGGACTGCTGTCAATTATGCAACAACACACAGAGGCCAAAATCTTGTCTATGAACCCTTTCCTCATGAACACATACAGGAACAAGTCTGCAAGAGGATTCAACCTAACAAAGATGAAAAACAAGATGGCGAGGTTCTCATGGTGTTTTAAATTCACAAACTGAAGTATGATAGGCAGGAACGGCAGCGTGTAAATAAGCAGCAACAGAACCAAAATTCCCACAATTCGTCGTTTTTCATCAGAGGGGACCGAGATGGAAGCAGACAGGGCTTTGAGAGTCCCAACCAGGAAGAAGATTAACAGAGGGAAGGGAAGGAGGAGGGAGGACGGCAGATACTATAAGTGTGACCACATCAGGAAAGAAAAATAAAAGGACAACACAGACAAGAGAAAGGACCCAGACCAGGACACAGACCACCACAGAGGTCTTGATGGTTCGTCTGCAGCGGTACCACAGTGGGTGGGCGATGACCAAATACCTGTAATACAAGATGGACACAAAGTCTTTGAGGAGCTTCAGAGTTATAAACTAACATAATGTTCAGACACAGAAGGAGCTCCACACATACTGGATACACAGATAGATACCTTTCCAGGGAGATGCAGACCATGAAGTAAACACTGGCAAACAGAGAAGTGAGGTAAATTAATAAGAAGATGTGAAATATCTTTCCATACACATCTGATGCCACCCAAACGATCATGCAGCAGAACTGAATCAGGTCAGTAATGAGAAGGTTGATGAGGTAGATGGGAGCAACATGATCTCTTCTCACCTGCAGGAAAACATTGGTAAAAGTCAACAAGCAGTTGGAAACATCTTGTGAAGAAGGGGGGGGGGGGGGGGGGGTCAATGATTGTCCTGAGGTCAGGACAGGAGTTTTTTTCTCTATACCGGTTTTTAAATTCAGGGTTTATTAGGAACAAGTTTCTTTCTCAGAGCCTGGTATTTCAGGCCTGAAGTTAGGAAGTGCAGCTCTGACTCGACCTCTTCTGTCCCTCTGGCATGTTTATATCAGCTAGTGATGTTTGTATAGGTCTGGTGAGAGCAAAGATGATTGACAGCAGGACAATGAAGTGGTATTCTATTCTATTCCACACTGGCAGCAGCGGCTCTGTCTATGCCGATCCTTTTCTGTAGCACTTTGTTTATATTCTTTGCAAACTATGCTTCCAAATCTGAGAATTCAATGAATGCAAGCCTGCTGCCAGATAATAGGCCTGCTAGCTTCCAACATCTGCTGGATAGCCACCTGCCTGCGCCTTGCACCTAGCATCCGTTTTTGGGGAACGTGCCTGGATATGTTCACAGGAACCCTTGGGGCTAGTGGTCGGTGGTGGTTGATGTGGCACGCGGCATCCTGCGCAGCCTCAACCTCTTGTCATTCTGGAGCCTCCACTCCACATTTCCACTGTGTCTTTGTTCCCCAGCTCAGGTGAGTCTTGCCCGGCTCTTTGTCCACATCGCAGACGACCTCTTCAACCTTGCTACAGTTCAGTACTGCAAAGGTCTCACTGCCCTGGACCTCAGGGATGGAGCCACCCTGCGTCACTGTGAAAGAGCTGTTGGATGTCACAAAAGCTGAGCTAGCTAACCTCTATGTTCCCTGTTCCTCCTGGGAGTCAGTTGGCTAGTTTCCTAGAAACTGAGCTGATTATCAAAACTGAGACTGTGTTGCCTGGAGCTGCAGAGGTGGCTTCTGATAGCATCCAGTTACATCCAGTCAGTGGTCCGACCGACACCTGCTCCTGGTTCCTTGTTTCCTGTTTAGCTTCCTGAGGTCACTGTTCACCAGCACCGCAGTCCCATCTCTGGTTCCCAGTTCCACTGTCCCGACAGGGTCTCCAGTTTGTCTGTCCAGTTGCCTGCCCAGTCGTTGGTAGCTAGTAGTCGGTCGCTGTCCGGTCACAAGTCCTTTGCCTGGCTGTCCAGTTGCCTGCCCAGTCGTTGGTAGCTAGTAGTTGGTTGCTGTCCGGTCACAAGTCCTTTGCCTGGCAGTCCCATCACTGGTCCACAGCTTTGCAGCCTTGTTTCTGGTTCCCTGTTCTACTGCTTCACTGCTGGCCTTCAGAGGCCGCCAGCTTCCTGCTTGGTCTCTAGTGGGTCTCCGTCCTCGTTACGGCCTTCAGATGGGTTCCGGCCCGATAGCCAGTATCCTACCCGACTACTCTGGAGAAGTCTCGCCCTCAATGCCAGCCTCCAGAGGTATCCAGTCCTTGTCCCAGGCCTCTGGCCTGCCCTGCTGAGGGTTTCTGCCCTTGCTTTTGGCCTCCTGGTCGACCCCATAACCTGGCCGTCCCTCCTTCTCAGCCTGACAGCATTCAGGTCAACCACCACAACTGTCGAGCTCCTCTGTCCTGCCTTCAGGTTTTTCTGCCCCAGCACTGGGTTGCACCGACTATGTGTAAGTTCAAACTTAGCCTAGTTTAACTTTATGTGCTACTAACGTTTTAAGGGTTGCACCAGCTGAAATATGTCCAACGTAGACATAAGTTACAACTTAAATATTACACCTAGCCCTTAATAGGTGTAAAGTCCTCCATAAAAAAACGTTGAGCGGTTGTCATGGCGCATCGTTTTGAAAGGTGGGATAACTTGAGGAGCAAATTATGCAGGCTGTTTTGCGTAAGCAACGCGTTCTCAGTGATAGATTACACCCTTTGGACATTTATGATGATATTGATTTGTACTCACGCTTTGGTTTTCCATGCACGGAGATACTGAGGATTACCGACCTGCTAGCAGTTGACTTGCAACACGACACGGACAGAAACGGTGCCCTCAGTCCTTCCCTACAAGTGTGTCTGGGACTGAGATATTTTGCTACAGGATTTCATTTCAAAACTTGGTTGGTGATTCAAATCAAGTGCATAAATCTACTGTGTGTAGAACAATAAGAGCAGTTTCACTATCACTATGTCAGCACTTTAATGACGTTAAAAAAAAAAGTTTCCAACTCAACCTGAGCAACAAAATATGACCTGTCAGAAGCTCTACCAGATTTCCCCGACATACTTGGCTGCATAGATGGCACACTCATCAGAATCAAGGGACCCAAAATACATGAGAATGACTCTGTAAACAGGAAGGGATACCACTCAATCAACTCTCAGATTGTATGTGATGCCGACCTTGTTATTACCAATGCTGTAATCAAATGGCCTGGGGCAAAGCATGACAGCTTCATCCTCAAGCAGTCTAGCCTTTGGAGAGACTTTGAGGCAGCAAGTTACCCCGGGAGGTTTCTTGGAGACTCAGGGTATCCACTGAGAAAATGGCTCATGACCCCATACCTAAACCCAACAAGTGTCAGTGAGCAGCGCTACAATTCAGTGTTACAATAAGTAACATGCACAATGACAGACAGGTAGCCTTTCCCTAGCCTATTCTGTGCCCGCAGCTAATATCTGTCTTACTTTGGTCATATAGGCGTCCTAATGGAGCCTGACAGAGCTGTAGCTGGTGCCTGCGTTGTCCTTCACAACCTGGCAATGATGTGGAAAGTACCGTTGATGGAGGAAGGAAATGCAAACGATGGGGCTGACATTCCTTTCGGCAACGAGGACCCAGTACCGACTGAGGCTGCCACTGTCCCGGCCTACCTTACTGCTTCCTATTTTGGATGAGCTGCTAATCAAACGTCTCACAAAACATAAACAAAATTAGCTACTGCAATAAGTTTATTTAGCAGGTTTTCTTTATATACAACACAACAACAACAATAATAACAATAACAACAACAATCATCCAAAATGTTTGAAATATTAAACTGTACAAATAGTCTAAATAACAAATAAATAACACATTTCAAAAATCTAATATGAATAATAATAATATATTATAAATTTATATATATATTATATATATATATTTATTATATTGATATATTTATAAATATATTTATAAATGAATTTGGAACTCGGAATGTGTTTATTTTTCATTCTTTATCTCTGCATGTTTAGACCAAATTCAATAATAGTAAAATAGATTAGTTATTCCTTAAATTTTTTTGCTGTCTAAAATAGCCTAATAGTGACAGTGTGACAGAGGAGTTGACTGTTTGCTATGGCTCATGTGAAAGTGTGATGGTGTATCCCTGTGCTTTAAGATCTTCTTATTAATATTTTAATGTTTAACTTAATTTCTTCAAGCTCAATTTTTTCTTTTTCTGCTTTAAACTTTAGTGTTTTCTGTGCGAGCTTCTCAATTTCAGCTGTATATAGTTGACATCTCAGTGTGTTCACATCCTCTTCTGTGCCAGGAGCAGGAAGCCTTCTGCTGCCTTTAGCGCGCTTAGCTGGTGGTGGATGGCTGCTGGACTGAGACGACTGTGTAGGTTGATTGTTGGTCACATCTGATCCAGTAAAGGTGGGCTCTGGCGGTTGGAGGGATGCTGGTTCAAGCAGACATGCTTCTGCAGATGGGGGGAGAAGTTGTTCAGCTGTATGAGAGGGGGCTGGTGCTGCTGCTGGTGGGAGAGATGTAACTGAAACCAGCGCTGACGCTTCGTTTGCTGGTCCACTCTCAACCCCACCGAAAATGCCAATCAATGAGGGGGAGTCCTCTCCCACAACTAACACTAGCGCTGAGTATGGCCCCATGTCTGGCTTTGGTCCACCTCCTGTTGGGACATTTCGTGGAAAGTCCCAAAGGCTTGCATTTTTAGGTCGCTCAGCTTCTTCCTCACATCTTTTACCTCCCTGTGCTCCACACCATTTGCATTTATGGTGTCCGTTATATCCTCCCATATTTGTTGTTTCCGTTTATTTGTTACAAAGTTGTTAAATTTCGATTCCAATGAGTCTTTGTTTTGTTTATATTTTGATAGCAGGATCATGATTTCTTCATGTGTAAAGTTTTTTTTTCTTGCTCTACGGTCAGAAATGGTCAAATCCCTGAAACAGTACACCAACATTAACTTAATGTCAGCATATCATTACAGTAGCTAGGCTAACTAAACTTGACATTAGACACTAACATTATAGTGTTGGCAAGCAAATATATTGGGTCACATAACTCTATAACTAACAACTAGGTCTACTAATTTATAACAGTTTGCTTGTGTCGTTTATTGTTATGTGTTCGTTATAATGTTACAATTTCATCTGTCCGTTGTAGGCTATGTTACCGTTCGTTCGGTATAGGTACCGTTATATTACGCCTATGTTGTAGTAAACGGTTTTACCACTTGATGTCACTGTTGGACTAGGTATATTAAGGTTTCAGAGTTATCACCTAATCATAATCCTTTGTCCTTGTTTACGTACCTTATTGTTGGTGTTTGGTGATTAACAGCTATTTTAGCCGTTAGCCTCTTCAGTATTGGAAAAAGTTGAAAGAGAGAGAGACAAACGGGCGAAAAAAACTTAATAGATGCTCTAGAATAGTGCTGTTCACTGATTGGCCATGGGATGCGTAAATGTCATTTTCTGCGACACTGTTTTGATTAGTATGGACTTTACGGCAGAGTAGCTAAGATGAACCTTACGTCTCGGTGGTGCAACCAAACATCGACACAACTTAAGTCTCAAACTAACTAGTTTCAACGTATTGTTCAGTGTGGACTTAAGGTAGAACTTACGTATTGCTGGTGCAACAGGCTGCTGGATTTTGAATGATGAATTGATTCAGAATCATCCAAGTCTGCATCGTGATGCATCTAAGAATGAATTATTTTCCAGACCCCTACCTGTCAACTAGCCCCCAAACCAGATCCAGATCCTTTACAGACAGACTGTAGGACAGACACACCACACAGACAGGAAATAAATAACTCTCAGTCAGAATGTACATACCATAGAATAAAGAGAATAGATGGCCACCAGGGTCAGAGGAAGGCCGACAGCAAGGACTATGCATGTCACTACGTATTGGATGAGACGAAGTTTTTTGAGATACTCATAGTGCTCATTGTTATTCTGGTAGTTGAAGGTGGTGCTGCTGTAATCGTAGCTTTGGTCCTGTGAGCTGCTGTTAATGTGGAGACCTTCCATTCTTCAGAGTGAAACCTGTTTGAGAGATCAGGTTATTAAAGGGAGCAGGTTTTTAATATCTACCTAACATTGTTCAGTGACATCACTAAAGCTGTGAGGTGAAGTTCACACAAACACAGTGTAACTATAATTTACCCACAATCATATCAAATCACAAACTGCTGTCTTTCACTTTCTATCATCATTCCTCAACATTTGTCACATTTAACTTTTATTTAATGAAATAAGAAAAGAAGAACAAATATCTGTACGTGCTGATGTGAGGTCGTTACTGCAGCCACAGAACATCGTCCAGCTGTTTCACTAATTAATGTTTAATGTTAATGCTCATTGGTTTAGGACATCCTGCCTGTCTCCTGTACTCGATGCCCCTCTGCCCTCTGAGTTTGGATCAGGAGGTTTACATGATGATTAATCCACTTGACAGGGGACAGACTGTGCACTCTTCCTTGTTGGTGTTTGTTCTGACATTATTTCTGGAACAAACACTTGATGCATATTGTTGGGATCACAGGGACCTCACAGATGAAGTCACTCAGCTCTCAGCTACGATTGGCCGGTGACCTGTGACCTATGATGTCACCTCATTAATAAAAACTCCAACGCAGCGTCGGTGTCTTCGCTTCTCTGCTGGATGTGACGGCTGAAGCCGCCAACCTGACGGCGCAGCGGCCTCCCAGCGTGGCCCGCTTGGAGCAGAACATAAAGTCCTGCTATAGATCCCTGCCACCAGCTGAGTTAGCCAAGCTGCTAACTCTGAGGAGAACAGACGAAGGGCCAGACCCTCTCATCTGGACGATCCGAACACGACAGAGCAAAAGACTGAACGGACCTGCCGGCTAACAACTAGCAAGACAACCCAATGTCTTCCTCTATGGATCGCTAACGTAACTGGGATTATACAGCTTCACAGAGCTGAACTGTTGGAGCATTAAAGCCTTTAGATCACACAGCGGGAAATTTAATGTGAATTAGATCAGATTAATTCTCTGGGAGGAGTTTGTTAAAGTATGGAGTTTTTTGTAAGCCTGGACCTGATATATCTGCCACAACCATTTAGCACATTCTGGTGAAACGTGGTCCGGGGGCTGCTTTTTAGGGGGCGCCCATCCATGAAAACCATGTGACACGTACATTTCCACAACGTTTACATTTTGTGCAAAGTTTGAGTTGTTGAGCTTGTTTCATGCTCGGGCCCTAATTAATTAATTAAGGTAAAATACTTTTTCATAATGTTATAATATCATCAAACTTTATCATACTAGGATCAAACTATTTCTTTAACATTAAAGCAGGTTAATCACATCAAATACTTAAACTAAATAATTCTAAACCAGTTAAGAGTGTTCAGAACAGGAGGAAATCTGAGGTTTTTGCTCACAGGGATTTCTTCTAAATACTTTAACCTGGTTTTTTTTAAGCTTTGGCCATGTTTAACATGAACATCCAACATTATAACATTGTAGATAAGTCATAAAATGTGGAAGCATAAGCAGTCTCCTTTACATTATATTACATTTACAACATTATATTTGTCACATGTTAATACATTTCACAAATTTTATAGAACTGATTTCATCACAACCAACAAACCCTATCTCTGCTGGCAGGAGTCTCACTTCCTGTTAGTCTTCCATGGAAGGTTCCTGGTTAGGCCACAAACTGCTGTGTGTCAGACTTTCCATCATTCGTCATCTATTCTTCTAAATAGGGAACATCCTCTTCTTTTCTTAAGCTTTACTCCAGGACAAGGCTCAGTCCCCCCTGCACAGGGCAGCAGCCTGCTTTTGCTGCTTTGTTACTCAGTTTCAAGACACCTCTAATATCTCAGAGACACTTTAGCTTCTTGTAGTTTAACTCAATAAAAAAACATGGCACCATCTACCAGCCAGTTACTGGTAAAATATGCAAATGTCTGCTAGATTTACTTCATCAGCAGCTAAAAACAATGGTAATCTACTGAGTGGTAGACTTTGAGCGTTTACTGGCTGGTGGACAAAACAGTTCATTTAGCACCCTGCCTGTGTACAGACAGGAGAACCAACTACTGTTTTTTCTCCAGCCACGCTGTCGCACGCGCATACGAGTAGGAGCCATTATACATTCCCCCCCACTTTTCTCCGGCTATTTCGTAGTTGGCTCATAACCGAGGTGGTTTACTATGAGTGACTAGTGAATCAGTCACACTCTCCGCATCTGAATTAGCCTAAATAAAGGGTTGAAATGCGGACAAAAATCATGCAGCCTATAGAAAACATGCGACAGAAGGCAAAGCTAAGTTAAGGGAGAAAAAGAAGAGTTTGCTCCAAAGTGCCTCAATATTAGGCTACAGGCTTTTCTTTTGTGCTGCTGTTACTTATAGCCTACCTGAAGACAGTACTGAGGACGTCTGCAGCAGGGTGGGTAGTGACTTGTTACAAGTAGCCTAATGCAAATTAGCAAAATGACTAAATAAAGTCAGTACTCCAGTATTTTCTTTAGGCCAGTAATCTACATTTAATTTTGCTCTGCAGAGCAAACGTAGACTTCACACTGTAACATCTAAGTCTGATGATCACTGGATTGATTCTGATATATTATCAGTTTCCTGTTGTTGAAAAGAGCATCGCTTTCTTTTGATGGATGTTCGCCTGTTTCTTTTCACCTCATCATCATCAGTTACTATGTGTTTTATAGCGCTGTCCGACGGTGAGTCCATAAACAGAAGCTCGCCGGTGAAACTAATCTTGGCTTTCACTCAGCAGCTACCAGCTGTTATTTATTCAGGAAACAATCATTTTGAGATGCACAGAGAGAGCAAGAGAAAGTCTGGGTGGATAAAACAGTCCTGTTGGGCTTTACGCATGACGCACAGCTTCCTTGATGCAGGCTTACCTGCTTCAACAACGAGCTCCCGAGTTTCTGCCACAATAATTATCTGTGTTGTAAAGATTATTTAGATGCTTTAGGAATAATCAGATTGTATTGGCTGCCTGTGTTATTGCAAAGCAAGCGGCTTGGTTGGTTATATGTCCATAATAAAGATACAGGCAACAATAGTGGCTGGGCAGCAAAGTGATCTGATCAATACGTTCATAGAGATTTATAAAGGAAAATGAATGTTTTAAACTTGCCAAATTACAGTAATAAAGAAGCAAAGCAAACTGCATTCCCTTGAAAAATAACCATGGTGCACAGCAGATGAAATACATATTTAAATATATAGTAGATTGAGTAATTGTACTTTTTCTTGAGTGAAGATTGTTAGTACTCTACCAGCCTAGTACTCTACTTTATGTTCAGATCCTCCACAGGACAGAGAGAGGCCCCTGATAACAAGCTAGTTTCAATATCAGGTTCTGGCCTACCTCAGTATCAGAAGTCTAACTCCAGACTTTCCTTGCCGTCCCCCGTTTCTCATCAGGGAGTAGAGTATTCAAACACAACCTGGAACGAGTTCCTAGACTCCAGATCTAGAGAATAAGACCAGTGTGGCCCTCGGCTCAGTGTGTGGCAGTGTGGAAGAACCTTACCTTGCAGCAGGAGGAGGAGGAGAGGAAAAATAATCTTTGAGATTCTTTACTCAAAGTGTCTTTTATTAAAGTACAATCAGCAAAAAAGAAAAGAACAGAGCAAAACAGCGTCGACCGGAGTTCTGCTTTTTCAAAATACCAGAAACTGCAACTTCTATACAGACACAGACAGGATGTGACAGAACAGCTCATGATGTATTTGCTGATTGGTTGATCTCTAATGTCCATGGAAATGAGTCACCTGTAAGAGGTCTGTTATTCATATCACACCAAATATGGTACACATGAACACAGAAAATATCCGCCCGCCTGTTTCTGCAAATGCATTCTCCTCACTTCTCTTAAAGTTAAAAAATGTCAATGATAAAGGAAATACAGTAAATATTATATTAAAATGGTAAAATCATGTAGTTGAGCAGGCTAAACAGACGGAATTACTTAATTAAAGCAAGGTCAATCACATAAAACTGCTAAAATAAGTAATAGCAGTACTTTATACTGATACTGTTTGTCAAGTAAAGTACATTAAAAAATTGTTGGTAATTCAGCATCCTTAATCACTTATTATTTGTCATACTTGTTACATTCTTAAAACATCAAATACATTTCACACATTTTCTAGAGCTGATTTCATCATAACCAACAAACATCACCCTGTGGTCTCTGCTGGCAGGAGGCTGACTTCCCGTCAGTCTTCAGTGGAAGTCTCCTGGTTAGGCCACAAACTGATGTGTGTCAGACTTTACATCATGCCTTTAAACCAAAAGTCATCTTCTATCATTTAAATATATTTTCGCTACTCTTGACAACCCAGCTATATGCTAACTTTGAACAGGTTTGAGCAGAGGTGTTCACGAGAGAGAGAGAGAGGGCGACTGAACTCTTGGTCAGCTTGGTCATGCTAAACATTCATGGCAGAGAGAGAGAGAGAGAGAGAGAGAGATCTCATCTTATGGAAACAGCTTTCTGCCACTACATATCAAAGTTTCCTCCTCACTAGAGGAAGAGGTGGCCAGGCTGGACCCTGATCCTTCTCACAGGAGGTGTTACAATAAGTATCACAGCAGAAAGTAAACTCAACATGTCTTTATTCCCCTGCAGCAAAGTCGCAGACATCAGCCCAAGGATCGGTACGTAGATGTCACCGTCACAGGAAGCACTTCTGCTGCACGTACAGGTCCATGTGTGGCGGTGGCGTCACTTACTGAGCCTTCAGAAATACTTGGGAAAATGTAACGTGTGGAAGCTACCGCACTACTTGGCCAATAAAAGAGCTTCGTTACTGAAAAGCTGGTCCAATTTCTTGTAGTAAGTATACTGTGATTTTTCCCTCCCAGCCTCATACTCACCCATCCCAGAGCGACGTCCCATGACGTCTCTCACTAACACAGAGTTTTCATGTCCATACAATAGAGAGCATTCTGAAGGACTGCTCAGGCTGTGTGTTATATCAGTAAATGTGTTTTTTTAGCTGAAGTATCTTTTGGTCAATGCAGATCGGTTTTCTCTACATTTACATTGCTTTGCATGCTTTCTTATTGTGCCAAAAAAACTTTCTCATACGACTCAAGTTTGGTATTGAACATTTTTAACAAATGCTTTCAAAAAGTGTTGTGGTCCCTAGCGTCCCCAGTGTAAAAGACACCTCTGCAGGTGGGAGAATAGATTTTCTCATTTTCTGATGTTTAGTGTTAATCACCGTCTAACTCAGCCAGTTAGGAGCAGCATGAAGCCTTAGATGTAACATGAATCTGGTCCCTGGAGCACAGGTTTGATCAGCTGGCAAGTTTCAATGCACATTTAAGAGTGCACGTTGCAACTATTATTAACAATAATGGAGAGCTGAGGCTCAGTAGCAGAAATAGCATTTGTGCAGTTCTATCACCGACACTCTACTTCTACTACTGTAGACACACACACCACATTAACGTTAGTGAAGTCAACTAATAATAGATGCGATTCAATAGACTGACAGTGCTGTTAAGTTCCGTAAAGGTTTCTGTTACGTTCACTCACCAGGTAATGGTACGACAGCGTGTCATCATGTCATCTGCTGCAGCTGCAGGGTCACCAAAACACTGAAAGAGTGGAGTTTGAGTTTGCTTGTGTTTCACATCTCCTTCACTGAGTCACGTTAGTTCATGTCAAACTGGCGCAGAGTGACCGCCACACTTTTCGTTTTGGGAGATTTTTTTTATTAATAAACTTTATTGGAATTCAATTTACAAACAGTCAGACATTCCAGCTTATAAACACAATATAGAGGCGGTGATATAGAAGGAACAATTGTAGACAAAAGATGATTCTAAGTTTCTTGGTCTGTTTTACAAAAGGTGAAATTTTTATCAACAAGCATGAATTTCAAGATAAACATGTTAGTTGGATACGTATTGTGCAAAATTGTCAAATGCAATTCTCTGACTTTGTAATGCAGAATCTAAAGTCATGCCTTGCACCAATTAAAGAGAAAATTTCAGAAGAAATTGCCACAAGGAGTTATTTTCTTTAAATTTAAAAAGCATTTTCTAACATGTGTGTTTGCTGCTCAAAATATCAATATTATTTATATAAAGATTACATGTCAAACTGCTTTTCATTAGCTTGGATAAACCATTAGGGTTAGATTTAAAGACTGAGCTATATTCTCTGAATGTTATTGGGAATGAATTAATTGACCACATGTTGAATCGTGGACGCTGAGGGAGAGAGCAGGGTAAACAAGTTTAGTCAGGAGGATTCTGCCCAGTGTTGAAATGTTTATTTGAAGCCATAAGTTCACTTCTGTTTTAGTCTTCTTCAATTTGGGAGAGAAGTTAAGTTGCTGACGTTCCATGTGGTCCTTGTAGGTATGAGTCCCTAGATATTTTACACATTTCCTGACAGATATATTAAACAATTGCTTTTCATCAGTCTGATACAAACATAGAATTTCACAAATAAGATTTGTTAAGTGTTAATCCGGAAGCAAAAAGAGCTGCATCATCAGTTAACTGGGTCAGTCTCATTTCCTTTAATAATGGGATTATGTTGAATATGTAAGGAGAGTAATTCAACCACCAGCAGGAACAAAAAAGGTGAAAAAGGACAGCCCTGGTACACTGATCTGAGTACAGGAAATCTTTTTATGGTATTTTGGTACAAAATAACACAACTGTGGATATTTTCATAAAACATTTCAACAATAGATCTTGTTATTAAGTTTTCAATTAGAGTTTGGTCCAAAATCAAATGTTTGGAGCTTTGAATAGGAAGTAGTGGTCTCCAGTATCAAATGCGTTATAGAAATCCTGAAATACAATCAGTGCGTCGGTGTTGATGTTATCAGAATAATAATAATAATAATAATCTTTATTTGTAGAGCACTTTTCAAAACAAGTTACAAAGTGCTTTAACAAGTGTAAAGAAAAAAATACCCAAGAGACAATAATACAGAAACAATACAAAATAAAAGCATGAAAACATTGAAAAGACTAAAATACATGTTTAAGATAAATAAAATTAGATATACAATATAAAATACAATCAAATAAAAGGGATAAAATAAAGTCGAATAAGATCGGGAAAGGCTCTCCTATAAAAGTATGTTTTAAGAAGGGACTTGAAAGAGTTCACTGACTCAGCCGACCTGATTTCCTCGGGCAGGCTGTTCCAGAGCCTCGGGGCCCTGACAGCAACGCTCTGTCCCCTTTAGTTTTCAGTCGAGACTCTGGAACAGACAACAGACCTCTGCCCGAGGATCTCAAGGTACGTGCTGGTGCGTATAGGACTAAAAGTTCAGAAATATAACAAGGCGAGAGGCCATGAAGAGCTTTAAAAGTGATCAGTCAATTCTAAAACATACTGGGAGCCAGTGTAATGAAGCTAAAATAGGAGTAATGTGGTCATACTGTATTTCTTTGTTCTGGTTAAAAGCCTGGCAGCTGAGTTCTGGACAGTCTGGAGTCGATCAATAGATTTTTGGGTTAAACAGGTGAAAAGGCTGTTGCAATAATCCAGGCGTGATGAGATGAAGGCGTGTAAAATGGTCTCGATGTCCTTAAAAGTTAACATAGATCGAATTTTTGCTATATTTCTAAGTTGATAAAACATGACTGAACAAGCTTTGTGGTGTGCTGCTCGAAATTTAAATTACTATCAAACCAAACACCAAGGTTCTTTGCCACAGGCTTAATGTGATTTACTAGGGAACCAGCAGATGGCAGTATTTGATCAAATACTGCCATCTGCTGAGACCCGATGACCAGGATTTCTGTTTTGTCTGAGTTCAGCTGGAGGAAATTATTTGACATCCATTTTTTAACTTCACAAAGGCAGTTGTTAAGTGAACTCAGCATTCCAGGGTCTGTGGATCTGACGGGCAAGTATATTTGTGTGTCATCAGCATAAATATGAAAGAAATGCCATGTTTATGGATAATATGTCCAAGGGGAAGCAGATACAAGGAAAACAAAATGGGTCCTAAGACCGACCCCTGAGGCACACCATATTTAACTGGACAGAACGAAGAGACATAGTTGTTTACAGACGCAAAACTTCCTATTTGACAGGTAGGATGAAAACCATTCTAGGGCAGTACCAGAGATCCCCACCCAGTGCCTCAGTCTGTCTAACATGATGTTGTGATCAATGGTGTCAAAAGCAGCGCTAAGGTCCAGGAGTACCAGGACTGAGCACATGCCTTCATCAGCAGACATTAAAAGGTCATTGGTGACTTTAAGCAGGGCAGTCTCAGTGCTGTGGTACTTCCTGAAACCAAACTGAAACTTTTCAAATATTTGTTATTTTCCAGTACAGTGAGCAGCTGTTTGGACACAATTCTTTCTAGAATCTTTGCAATAAAAGGCAGTTTTGAGATTGGTCTAAAATTATGTGGGAGGGAGGGATCTAAACCAGGTTTCTTTAAAAGTGGGTTCACGCAAGCCGTTTTAAAATAATCAGGGACACAACCAGTAGATAGAGCTGTTAAAAACAGAGATCAAATGGGGCCCAACAGAATCTATTACTTTCAGTAAAAACTTTGTAGGTATTACATCAAGTGGGCTGGAGGACACTCTCATTTGTGATACTGTTTTTAAAAGCTCAGATAAGTCGATGGGATGAAACTGGTTAAAACTCTCTTGTTGCTGGTGAG